TGTTCATTCTCCAAGATAGGGTCGTCAGCTTTTTCTCAAAATGGCATCTCCCCATTCAAAAGAGATCGTAACCAATTTTTTTCCAGTTTTTTTCCAAGATGGGGGTGAGAAGAAAACCTAGGATGGAATAACACGACACACAGAGGAAAAGAGAAAAAAAAACGCCATCTTGTCATTTTCTGATAGGGTACCGGTGTTCGAATACTTTTGTGACCGACTGTACATCATTTTGGTTCTGCCGGGGACAGTGAGCTCTGCTTTAGAACTTGGGAGGTTCATCATCTTTTTTGGGTAGAAGGGAAAAAAATTAAAAGCAAACTAACCAAAAATTTACTAATTTAAGTAAAATAAAAGTTGATCTAAGGTAAATATGGTGTGGTGTAGAACTGCAGACAGACAGAACACCGATAAAGAAAAGTTAATGATATATGGTTCACATTTTGTACAAATCTTTAGCTAATACGAACGAATAATTTTTACTAAGGTATCATTCTCATATTCTGATGATTAACTAAAATTAATACTTGGAAACTGTTAAATGAATTTGAACGAAAGATAAGCAAACAAGCCTTCATGTTTCCTAATCCTCAAATTATAATTTCATTTTTGTACAAGAAGATTGGCATCATCGTTATTTGTTGTGGTGTCTTAATCGTCGTTGAGTGTATAATAAAAATGTGGTAGTTAGGTGAAATTTTAAAGTGTTAAGCGTTTTGGGGTGGTTATGAACGTAATATATTAATCATAAAGTGCGAGGCGTCTAATGTATTCTGAAGAATAGAATTGTTTTTTTTTGTTGTGCATTGTACCGGCTCCGCCTAGTTCTGTAAAGGTTTGTGCTTATGTATTCTAGTTTTGGTTTTCGATTTATATAATAGAGTACGTGAATGGTACCTATAAATGTATTTTAATCATATTTTGACCGTTATTTAATCTTCCAGTGTTCTGTTTGTAGAATTTTGTTATTTTGCTCTTCCAATTATTCTCCCCGTGTTTGTAGTTTTTAAAACTTAAGACCAGAGTTGTGTGCTTTATAATTTTAAAATTTGATTTGTAGCTTGCTGTTTTCTAGATTTTCAATTACAGATATTGTATTTCTAATATTTATAGTATTTGAACAAAAATGTCTGATCGGAGACAAGAGTTAGAAAGGAAGAAGCAGAAACTTGCTTTAATTAGAGAAGAGAAAGAAAAACGTCGAAGAGAAAAAGCTAAAGAGGTATCTTTTCTCTCTAGTTTATTTTATTTTATTTATTTATTATTACAGCAGATCTGGATTGCAGTCAAAAAGTAGTTTTAGTTGTTTTATAATATTTTTTATCTAACAAAGTAGGTTGAAATAAATAACCAAAATTTTGCAACTTTTTATTGGGTACTAATCCACTCTAAGTAGAATCGAAGATAAAAGGGGGGCTAATCTTTGGAATATGGTAACAGGTAGTTTGGCGACATTTTGGAGGCGATAAAGGTTACTACCTAGGACTTTGGGAATAATGTGAGAAGTACTCAGTTCCGATTATGCATTATTTCGTGTGAGGGAAATGAGAGATCATGAGATATGTCATGTGACATTAATGGACGAATTACAGTTCTTTAATCGGAAAAGGGGTAAATTTGGAAAAATATCTGCAGTACTATAGTATTTTGCAGTATTAAGCTTCATTGTGTGTTGTGTGAAAGAGTGTTGATTAATTTTTGGATAGCATGGCGCTATCTAAAGTGAATTCTAAATTTTTAATGCGTTTATCTGATAATTCAAAAGAATTGGTTGAATGGTGTATGAGTGTAGGATTAATTGCGGATAAGTATGAATGTCCAACATGTGGGAATGAAATGAGATTGTGTGAAAGGAAGGATATTACAGATAAATTTGGCTGATCTTTGGAATATGGTAACTGGTAGTTTTGCGACATTTTGGAGATGATAAAGGTTACTACCTAGGACTTTGGTAATAATGTGAGAAGCACTCTTTTGATTATGCATTATTTTGTGTGAGGGAAATGAGAGATCATGAGATATGTCGTGACATTAATGGACGAATTACAGTTGCTTAATCGGAAAAGGGGGGAAATCTGGAAATTTTGTATTTAGCTATATTCTGTGTTGTGTGAAACGTGACATTAATGGATGAATTACAGTTCTTTAATCCGAAAAGGGGGTTAATTTAGAAAAGCTTCATTGTGTGTTGTGTGAAATAGTGTTGATTAATTTTCGGATTGCATGGCGCCATGTAAAGTGAATTCTAAATTTTTAATGCATTTATCTGATAATAATAATGGGTTGAGATTGTGTGAAAGGAAGGATATTACAGTTAAGTTTAAATGGCGGTGCAAGAAATATGGTGAAAATGGACATTTTGTGAAAAGGAGTGTAAGAAAGGGTACATGGTTTGCTGAAAGTAGTTTGAGTATAGGTGAAATTTTATTAATTTCTTTTTACTTGGTGAATAGACTTCCAGTTGACTACTGGATTTAGGATTTAGAAATTAGCAGTTGTACTGCAGCCACGTAATGAAGATTCTGAAGAAGAATAGGTAAGTTAGTATTTTTAATCATTTGAGGATGTTATTTTTATGCATTGTTCTAAATGTAAGGAATAAATAAATTAATGTGTTATTATTGGAAAAATGTTATTAGCAATGATTTAGTTTAAAGTAATTAGGATTGTAATTAATTTTTATTAATTTAATGTATGTGCTTATTTATATTTTAAGTAGTGTTTTTTAATTTAATTATATTTTAATTTAATGATCGTGATTTTGTGAGTTATATATTTGTAGTATTTTGGAATATGTTTGAGTAGTGTACGTTGAGTATTTTCATGAATTTTCGTGAAATTTTTCTAATTTATGAGAAAAAAGCAGTGTATAAAAATTGTCGCGTTTATGCTCACGAATTCACGATTCTATTTTTTTAAAAAAACAAAACATTTAATGAAGAGCTTATGTACATTATTTACATTATTGAAAGCAAAAGCACAAAATATACATATAATATAAATTTTCCCATCATAGGCCAAGATTAGTTTATCAAGAACAGTTATTATAATTGTTCATTACCGCTATGCGGCCAAGAACAGATCATTTCAAGGCGTCGCCCTCAAGCTGACTAAAAGAGTATTACATTCCTTCTCTGCCGCCAGTCACGTGACCTAGTCCGCGACAGACGATAAAAAATAAAAGAAAAACTGAATCCATTGGAGGGAAAAAGAAATAATTTCAACAAGCAGTGTACATGGATATAGTGAAGAGTGCGCGCAATGCCATTTTTGTGCAATTCTGGGATTTTTTTAAGTAAAAATAAGTCGACGTGTACATAGTTTAGTGATATTTTAATTAAATGATAGTTATTTTGTGAATTTTATATTTGTAGGAATTTGGTATACCTTTCAGTTGAAGTAAATGTGTATGGAAATAATTTAAATATTTGACACTAAGTATTTGTAACTATTTTTAATGTTTGCGTATAAATTCGTTGCTGACGTTTATAATATAATAGATAATTTAGATGTAAAAGTTTTTGGATATTTTATTAATTTTATACGTGGAAATGTTCATCCTTGTATTACACTTTTTCGCGATGAGGTAATTTCATGTATGTTCTTTTTACCGGATTTAAAGATTCACAAAATTTTCATGCATTTTCCTGAAATTTTTCTAATTTATGACAAAAAAGCAGTGTACATGGATATAGCGAAGAGTGTGTGCACTGCCATTTTTGTGCAATTCTGGGATTTTTTTTAAGTAAAAATAAGTCGACGTGTACATGGTTTAGTGATATTTTAATTAAATGATAGTTATTTTGTGAATTTTATGTTTGTAGGAATTTGGTATACGGTTCAGTTGAAGTAAACGTGTATGGAAATAATTTAAATATTTGACACTAAGTATTTGTAACTATTTTTAATGTTTGCGCATAAATTCGTTAGTGACGTTTATAATATAATAGATAATTTAGAGGTAAAAGCTTGAGGATATTTTATTTATTTTATGTGTGGAAATGTTCATCCTTGGAAAGGGTATGTACTTTTTCGCAATCAGGTGATTTCATATATGTGCTTTTTATCTAGTTTAAAGATTAAGAAAATTTTCCTGCATTTTCATGCAAATTTTTGTAATTTATGAGAAAATAGTAGTGTAGATGGATAAAGTTGAGTGTGTGCAATGCCATTTTTGTACAATTTTGGGATGGTTTTTTAAGTAAAAATAAGTTGACGTGTAAATAGTTTATGTGTATGTGCTATTCTGAAAAACGCGCAAGGAGTTTGCGATTCTGCACTTTTTCCCAATTTTGCAGTTAATATTTGTCATGATTAAGCAGTTTTGTTACATAAAATTTCTAGCATCAGTGTAATTCTGCTAGTAGATTGTTGGAAAAAGTGTTGAGAAATAAAAAGAAAAGAAACATGTCTTTACGAAGTAAAGACAAAATGGCGGCGAAAAAAAAATAGAGGGTTGCTGTAGCAGAGTTGATCGCCAAAAATCGCCAAGTTACCATAATCCAAAGATCAACTATAAGTTTGAATGGCGGTGCAAGAAATCTGGTGAAAATGGACATTTTGTGATCCGCCATACACTCAAGATTTTGTAGAAGATTAGGTAAGTTAGTACAGTCAAAAGTCGTTAATCCGGACTCGTTGGGACTTCTGCAATTCCGGATTATCGATTTTTCCGGATTATAGATCATCAGTTTAAATCTGGTAAGATGGCATGCAGAAATTATAAAATTAAAAATATGAAACCGTAATTTATGAAATGAAGAACGATTATGATCTAAAGGATATCAAAATTTACACAAAAAAAGCTTAATATTTATTTGTTTACTTTATGTTATTTATTTGTTTACTTTATTTCTTTCAATGTAAGTTGTTTAAGTTGCTTTGTTTTGTGTGATAATACTTTCACTTTAATTCTATGAACAGACATAATTTCTTCTTCAGTTACGAAGTTCCACTGTTAAAGTCCTATAATTGCTGTGTCGAGAACACCGACTAATTTGTCAATCGAAATTTTTTTGTTTTCAATAACCTCTGTGTAACTTTCTTCACTATCGGAAGCGAATTATAATGACGAGGAATTTGATTTAAATCATATCAAAGACGGAGTACATCGAGATGAAATACTACATTTAGTAAGGAATTATAAGCGAAATAAAGTAAAAACATCTGCCCTGAAGATCAGGATAGTGCTGACAGATCAGCTTCCAATTCATTACGTGCCGTGGGGTCCCCCCCCCTCGCCGCAGAGCAGCATGAAATTGGTAAAACAAAGGATATGCCTTTATCCATTTTTTGCAGGAATTCCACTTTTTGTTTAATGGACTTCGAAACATACTTTCGAAACATACCTTTACATATTAGTAAATATATATCGGAAATTCTATTTGACATAATTGAAAGTTCAAGCTTACTTTTATAAAATTGCTCTAACAGTCTGCAAAAAAAAATATAAGATGGATCCAATTCAAAGATTAAGGAACAGCGCAATCTGAAACATTAACTGAATTAGATAATTTTAGCTTAGCTTATACCATCCATTATACATTAAACGTGCACGCGTAAACGTATTATGTTCATGTGCACACACATATTTGCAGTCATAAAGTTCTTACGCGCATGCGTCAATGTTTGTAGTTTTGAGGTCTGGATTATAGATCATTCCGAATTATGGATTATAGATGGGCGTCTGAATTAACGACTTTTGACTGTATTACGTCTCTTTCTAGGTGTCCAATCTACTCTTTTATTTGATGTCATTGCTTCTTGACTAAATATTAAAACTTTTTAGAAAAATTCCTACTTGTAATTGCAGTGTATAAGAAACAGGTCCTTCTTCTACAGAACAGAGCAAATTAAGGAATTGTTTCAAGTGTAAACATGATGTCAGCTTCTACTGGCAGTTACTATCATTTGATTGGTTCTCAGAACAAGAACAGTGATTGGTCAGGAAAGCTAGACATTACAAACCACTTCATAACTGTGTTTTTCATTTATATTAAAGTACATATAACTTTTTTTGTATTGCAAATAATTGAATTTTGTGTTTTGTATTGAATTCAGTAATAAATTTTCTTTAAAATAATATATACAAGTTTGCATTTTGCAAAACGTAACATTTTCTATAAGCATACAAAGTTCAAAAACATAAAAATTTCCAAAAGTGTCCACAATTTTGGCCACCACTGTACTATTTAAGTGAATACTAGCTAGTATACTTCAGAT